GGGCAGTCGCGGTGCCCAGCAGCCGCCAGACTCCGCGCGCCAGGCGGGCGCGGCTGGGAAACTGACCGGCCGCCGCGGTTGTCTCAGGCTCGGTCATGCAGCTCCGAGCTGGGGTGACCTTGACGGGGCCGGCTCGGAGCTGGGGGCCAGCCAGAGCCACAGCCGGAAGGTTCTGGGCTCAAAGGGGAGCGAGGCGAGGGGTGACGGCCGGAAACCAAACCAAACGCAGGCTGGGGAGCGGTCCCGGCACAGGGGGGCTGAGGGGGTCCCCCCGGCGCGAGCAGACCGCAGACCGGGTGACCGGCGCCATCTACCCGGCCCGAGGGTGACCCCAGCGCGTGGATTTAGAAGGATGGAAAGGGGGTTCGCCCGCTTCCTGCGTCCTCAGCTGGGAACAAAGTCGGGGGGCCCGAGGTGGTGAGGCGACACTAGGCGACCCTGTTCCACGCTGTTCAAGAGCCAAAGGGGTTTTGCAATTTCAGCAGCTGGAGGAGACGCCTGTGCCCGTTACGGCCCTGAGAGAACTTTCACGACTGGACTGAAAGTAGCTGGTCTGTGCACAGGTCTGATGCCCACTAGCGGGGGTACAGTGTGCGCCCCCCGGGCGTGTCTGGCAGCCGGTGCTGTCATGGAGCTACTCATCTGTGGGCCCGTCCGGCCGCCATCGCCCATCGTCGGACCCCAACATCTGTCCATCCATCATCCCTCCTCCATCCATCACCCATCATCCATCCATCACCCATCCATCCTCCACCCTCCATCCATCATCCATCATCCATCCACCATCCATCACCCATCCACCATCCGTCCATCATCCGTCCATCATCCACCATCCATCCATCATCCATCCGTCATCCATCCATCATCCATGCGTCATCCATCGATCATCCATCATCCATCCATCATCCGTCCTCCATCATCCATCCATCATCCACCATCCATCATCCATCCTCCATCCATCATCCATCCACCATCCGTCCATCATCCGTCCATCATCAATCCATCATCCACCATCCATCCATCATCCATCCGTCATCCATCCATCATCCATGCGTCATCCATCCATCATCCATCATCCATCCATCATCCGTCCTCCATCCATCATCCATCCATCATTCACCATCCATCCATCATCCATCCTCCATCCATC